TTTATCTGGACCCTTAGTCTGTTTGTAACTTTCTAAAATCAAAGTTTTAATCATCCTTTTGCTCTTGATTCCAGAAAAAAAAATTAAGTCCTTAAACTTGTATTTAAAACCTATTTTGCTAAGGATTGAAGGAAACTCACCTGGTGCTGTAAAATTTGTGGATCTGAAGGTTCCTAATAGCTGAAAAGCAGTTAACAAGCAATTTCCAAAAGTGATTAGAAAAGGAAGTATATGAACCCAGTGTCCTTTAGAGGCACCAACTGCAGTATGAGCAAGATGGCTATTCCCTCATCTTCCAGAGTGCTAAACCCGCTGGAGACCACTCTTCTGCAGTCTCCTCGCAAGGAGCAATTGTCTGGACAACTTGTGGGCGATCTCGAGTCCTCTCCTTGTCCAGAGAGGAATTACAAAAAACAAGTCTACTCACTGGCTCTTAATTCCGCTGCGGTTGTCAGCTCCATATTTTGCAGAGCCATTTTCAGTTTGCCATTTCTTCCCTGGAAGTCGTCCCTGCAGTTTTCTTGGAAAGATTTTGGAAGTGGCTTGCCATTGCCTCCTTCCTAGGGCTGAGAGTGAGTGACTGGCTCAAGGTTACCCAGCTGGCTTTCATGCCTAAGGCAGGACTAGAACTCAAATTCTCCCAATTTCTAGCCTGATGCCTCAACCACTACACCAAACTGGCTCTCCGTGAGAGCATTAACTGTTGGGTTATATTCAAATTTAGTATCCATCAGCTTCTATTAAAGACAAGATTTCATCCTACACAAAGACTTTCACTTCTAGATAAACTCTGCCAATTATGCTAATGCAAATAAATATTGGAATGAAAAAACAATACAATTTAGAGATACAATTACCAAAGCTTCAGTATTACAAGAATGGGAAGATATCCATTCTCTATCAATTATATCATGATTGGAGTATTCCTCTATATTTGAAAAAGCATTCCATCACTAGGATCTCAATTAGTGGACAATTTAGGTATCTGGTGTACTTATGCTGTTCTATATGTTTAATATTTTCTCCCTTATAAAGTTAGATAAACTTAAATATAAACAAAGTAGCTGTACAGTATGATAGGAACATATATGTGAGACTAAATGAATAGTGTTCAAGTAAAGTAAATTAGTAAATTCTTTTCTCCCTTTTCCAAACAATGAAATCAAAACATAAAAAAATGAAGTGCCCTAATTCCACATGTTTGTAAACCTCCCATACAGTGTCACCTCCCATTCTCAAGAGGAACCAATCTTACTGCTTTGACAGATCCAGGAATTCTTCTCTCTGGCCATCACTTCATGGGGCACAGTCTCCTCTTCTTCCTCTCCCTCTGAGAGAAGGTCTGAGATCTGCTGCTGTAGTTCAGGACTAATGTTGTTCTCTGCCAGGATCAGTGTCCTCAGAGCTGTTGGATAGTTTTCCACCATGTCCAGTAGGATCTGAATTGAGTCAGAACAGAACAGAACAGCATCATGAGAAGCAGCTCACTGTAGATGCCAGGTGACCAAGAAAGAGAAGGCAGTGGACTCAGTTTTTTTCTAAGATCTAAAATGTATTTATTTTGACATGGGATTAACAAGTCTTGAACAGCCAATTAACTGGGAACAGATTTGTATTTCTTCTTGTTCCCAATCACAGTAATGATAATTGGATGCTGAGACATAAAGCAAGTTCTGCATCCCTAAAATAAACGTTTCAGGACTTTTATCACCAATTCATCTTATCTAATACCTGTAACTGTGTCCATCTCTGTTGCTTCAAAAAACCGCCCCCTTCACACCAAACCAAAATCTAAGGTGAAGAAGGATGTCCTCCATAAAGTTTTAAGTAATTGTAAATTCACAGGTCTCTTGAGAAAAGGAAGAGTACATCTTGGGAGGAGGGGAAGCTATATGCAAGCTTTGCAGTTGGTTATGCTGACTTACATGAGCAGCAAGAGAAGGGCAACAAAGAGCCATGCCGCCTTACCATAGCTGACTGGTTGGTAAGTCCTGTTCCTTCCAAGTCTAAAACTTCTAAGGTGCGGCTGGATGCCACTGAAACAGCCAGCATTGCTGCTATCTGGTCACCTATGGAACGGAAAACCAGGAGATGTGAGCAAAGCTTACTGCAGGTCTACAAATGCACCCACTTCAAGAGTAGCAGAATGTGAGGGACATGCAAGTTTCTCCACTTTTCCTCAGATTATGGTTTCTAACAGCTGAATTTCCCCATTGCAGCTTCCTAAACAAGATGCTGCATTAGTACTTTACCATCTGTTGACAGTGCAAGATGCTAGGGAATGGTGAGAACAACTCTTCCTTTTCCTCCTGCTTTTCATCCTTTGCAAACTAGCTAAGAAAAAAAAATCCTCTGGCATTGGGCAAATGTCTCTGAGTAATCTCTCTCCTTGTCTGAGTAATCCACTAGCAGCTTATTATTGGTTAGCAGATGAAAGGACATGCACCGCCCCTTAAAGAGTAAACCTTGAGTGGAGGTATGGAAAAAAAGAAAGGGCCTCATCCATCCTGAGAGGGCAGGGTGAGGTAGGGTTTGCACATGTATGGCCAAGATGTTCACATTTGTCTCCTTTGGTGAGCAGAGCAGAGCAGCTTGGCTCACCAGCTGCCAAATCAGCTCAGCAATGAAGCTAGGGAGAAAGGAAGTTTCCATGGCAACCACTGCAGGAACTCCTCTTTGCCTTGCTATTTTTTGAAGCAGCAGCTGGGAAAGGGACAACTTGTGACTACCAAGCCCACTGATAAAGGCATACAGGATGTGGGATGGAATCCAGCCAATAACCCCAAGAATGAGGTACTGCCGAAGAGTCTGCAGGAGAAACTCATAATCTTGGTTCCTGATGGTAGTGCTCTGCTGCCCTTCCCTGTGTAGAATGCAGTAGTCCTCCATCCCACTCTTTCAGAATAGGGCGTGTGACAGCAGGTTTGGTTTTCTGGTTTCAGCGACTGAGTAATTTCTTAAACCTCCTTTTACTGCTTTTATTTCAAGCATATGGGTGGAAGCATTATTCCTGACAAAGTGGGTCCTCACAGACAAACTAACAGAAAAAAAGAAAAATACCTAGATTGGGGGAAGCCCTGTCTGAAAATTTACCAAGTGTGAAGTCCTTGGTGTTCTCTGAGCTTGGTGGTTTGCTTGCAGATGTTTCATTACCCAGCTAAGTAACATCATCAGTGCTAGTTTTTGCAGTGCTAAATTTACAAAGTCCCTACCAGCCTTTGAAGACCAGGTGAGTCCCAACACAGGCAATGGGCTGGAGAAGATTGGGGTAGAAAACACTGGATGAGCTGGCACAATTGGGATGACTTTGCAGAAAGCAGCTTCACCAGCTGCCAAATTTGCCTTTTTCCTATGCAGCCTACACAGAGGGTCATTGGGTCCTCTTGATTAGAGGACAGAGTAAACTGCCTTTAAATTACTATTGGTATAAGGCAATTTAATTTGTTCCCCAACCAAGAAGGCATAATGGCCTTCTAAGTAGGTCTGTTGGGTATTATCTGGATTTGTTTAAGGTTTAAGCCTTAAATTTTATAACCTGTATAAGCCCAGCAAGATCTCCATTAGCTGAAAGGACATATAAACACTGCCAAATATCTGTAGTCCTCTCACCCAGGGGGTTGTAGTCCAAGTTCAACACTCGCACCTGGGAACTATGAGCCACTGCAATAGCCAGACGTCCCCATCCCTTGGGTGTGATACCAGAATTTGCACTGAGAGTCAGTTCCTTCAATCCTAGGCATAAAAGAGAAGCCAGGTGACTCTAAGGCAATTTTTACAAAGCCTCTTCCATTCAGGACTAACATCACATTTGCTGAATCATTAAGGCAGATTAAACTTACCCAACACCAATCAATTAACCTCAAAATATATTTTCAACACACTGTTGTTCAAACTAGTGCTACAATTATATGGTAACCTGTGATATATCCCCTTCATGGATCACTGCCTTGTCGTGGCGAAGGGGCTTGCGTAACTCAGTGAA